ACAGAGAATAGATCGAGTTCGCTTTTTAGTTTTTCTTCAAAACTTCACAGTATTGTGATGACTGGGGGGGAAATTCACACGAATCAGTCAGTCAGTCATTCATTCATTCAGTCATACAGTAAACTTTCCGGGGGGGTGTATATGATATATGTTCGTAGTGATTTATCGTACTTAGTCAGTGCTTTGAAGGTTATTTAGGCAATTTCAGCTAACTTATTTACATAATTTGTTATCCTTTTTGCCAAGTTCACAAAAATTTTGAGGAATCGCTTTTGTTATTGTATTTTTTTGTAAATTTTAGAGCATTCGCTTCTCATGCTGTGTAAAGGATCTTTACCCCAGAACACCCGATTTTTTCTTTAGTAGCGCAAATGTGGATGCGATATCAAGCCCGTAGATCACGATGGCGTGACGATATGCAAGGAAGGAGTGACAGTGTAGTTTTCAGATGTATAAACATTTCAGACGTGAATATTAAGTAAATCTTTGAAAATCTACGCAAAATATAAATTGATCTTATGCATTACGGGCGTTCAATTAAGTTCCGATAATATTTAGACGGTATATTCATTATACAGAGTTAGGAAGGAGTTAGACCGCCTAGACAGTGCAGTCAAGTGTATAAACATTTCAGACGTAAATATTGTTATATTGAGTCGAAAATCTTTGAGATTCTAGGCATTCAATTGAGTGCCGATATTATTTTCACGGCATACTCGTTATACAGAGGTACAGTACGTAGGCAGAAGCGAGACAGTGTTGTTTTCAAGTATATAAACATTTCAGACATGAATATTGAGAAAATCTTTGAGATTCTACGCAATAATACAATATATATGATTCATCAATTAATATGTAAGTGCCCATCGATATTATTTAGACCGTGTATTCATTATACATTGTCATTGACTGTATAAGGTGCTACATCACAGAATAGATGGCTACACTCAGTACAAAGAGCGAAAAATTGCATCAGATCTGTACCAGATCAATAAAGCATAAACGGGTAAACGTTTGTATGGTGTTTACGAGGAAAATAACTTGCGAGACTAAAGAAATCAGTTGAGTCAGAGCTCCTTATTTAAATAAGAAAGATGAGGAGATAGCCAATGTGTTATCGCCAACGTGTTATCGCCAATTGCTTTGCTCGCCAACAAGCTTTATGCAATAGAAGAAAAAAGCAAGGAGGTACATGTAGCCAACTTGTACTGTCACGGACCTTCTCTTTGTTTACTGTCTAGCACAACGCCGTTGTCAACGGTGCAAACTCGTGTTCAGTGCAACGATAACTCTACCAGATCTTACGAGAATCAATCTGTAGTATTCTGTACACAGAACTGTATCAAAGCTTATCAAACCTGCTTTAATTTAAACACTGCTTATAAACTGTGAAACTATTGAAATCTAAAGTGACATTAATGTATTCAACACATGCGAAAAGCTGAAAATAGACGTGACACTGGGAAAAGTCAAAGGTCAATGAGACTTGTTATTGTGAAACATGTCACAATTAGGTTAAAATGAGGAAGCGGATGGAGCGGATCCACGGAACGAATATGCGGACAAAATACGGAACGGATGAGGATAAAATGCGTCCTTTTAATGATGTAACGACGTAGTGCTTATTATTCATAACATATCTTATACAGCTATTTCAATTATAGTTTTAGATAAATTTAGCATAGCAGTAGCCTCGTGGGGATGCTTTTAGCGACAGCTGCAAATGCAAATAAAAATTCAGAATATGCAAAATTTGGTTGTTGGTGAAACAATTTAAATTTCGAATTGTCGCGTGTAGCATCACAATAAATGGATAAATTGCATCAGTTTCACAAGGCACGTTTCTGATGTGTTAGGCTTGTTTCAAACGTCACGCTACTCGTGTGCCGAGCGTATTAAAAGCAATAAATAATGAGATGAAATGCCTTTGGTAACTGTTTATTTCGTAGTGTAAGCCATCAGCTTTTCTAGGTTGTCGGCGACCCTATATAGTTCTTGCAGTGTCTTTTTCAATTTGAAACTTCACACTATCCTTGGATCCCTAGTTATAATAAGCCATCGTCTCCTTTAATTTTCGATTTAATTCTTTTACTTCTACAACGCGACACATTGTTCTTTTTTCTTTTTTAACTCGTCAACTAATTCGACGCCTTCACAAACGATAACCTCTACTTTCTGTAGACCCTCGCGCATTTCCTGTAATTTCCCATTGATGTCTGCTATAAAATCTTCTGCTGATTATAAAATCTAGCTGCGGTCATTTTTGTTCACGAATAATTATCAAAACAATAAGACAAAGATGTATACAATATACATGACCAAATTTGGTCAAAATCATATTAGGTCATACGTTTATTGCTAACTCTTCATATCGTCAACACCATCCTTAGTTTTCTAAAATAAAAATGGGTATATATATATGTATTATACCCTCTCTAATAATCTTTCAAATAAGTATATAAAATAACCCAAATTTGGTCACGACCCTATTAGATCATCATCGTTAACTCTAGTTTTCTAAAATAAAAATATATATATCATTGACCATATTAGCTTATCCTAACAATATTTAAAAAAAAAATGGATATATATATATACAAACTCTCGAATAATCTTTTCAATAAGTAGCGCTTGCCTGTTCGAAACACAAACGTTCAACACCACACTGCGGAGCTTCAACATGACTACTTCATGTCTACTTGATCGCTAAACCAATTTTTAATTCACCCTGCTTTTTAGCGGGTGGTATAAAATAAAATAAAATAAAAAATGGCTGGACGTCCAGAAAATTGGTCTGGTGAAACTGCCGAGGAACAACGACAACTATATGAGCATATATTATACAACGCAATCTACAACCTAAATGGGGTGAAAGCATCATTGACAAAAAAACATGGCATAGAGATGCTGTTAAAATTATGTTGGACTACGCACATTGTTATGCGGGAGATCTTTATGTCGATATAATGATACTTTATAAAATATGCGATATAAAATGGGATGAGGCAACAGTCTTCAGGTCGAAAGATTGTCACGACAAAAATATAATTCAAAAGTTATACGGTATATATCGCGAATATTATTATTGTGACTCCGAACAATTTAAAAATGTATATAGATATATCGATTCACGATTAGATAACGAATAAAAAACTTGCTTACCTTGACTTCTACAATCTTAGTTCTATCAATTTTACAATAATAGACCTTTCCTTTAGGACCCCAGGGTCTAACCGCTATAACTTCCCTCGACGGATACCACACACATGCACACCACTCTTCCTTACAATTACATGGTATTATCGGCATTTTCCAATCTTATTATGGCACAAAATAATAAGATTAAAGTACAGAACACCGTCGTGGACAAAGAAGATCTTAAAAACTAAAAAATCACCGGTTTTTATATTTTTGTAAATTTTCCACGAATTTAATTCAACTTGTGACGTATATCCACCTGTAGGAAATCGGCATTTGTCACCATGTTCAAACACTGCAGCCAGCTGATTTATTTAGCGGTTGCTGTGTTTGAAAATGACACACTTTGCCAATTTAAAAAAGAAGAAGAGACGTAAAATATAAATAAGTTTTGCATAAGTAAAATATGTCTGACGCTGGACACTACAAATAGCGACGTCTTAGGAGGGAATCGAACCCCCTTTGACTTAGAACTTCTAGCCTTTTCCCCCTAACCGGCAGTCAGTTAAGTTACTTCCGCCACACCGACCTACTATTAATAACACCCATTCGGCAGACATTTACATATACAATTATTTGGCTTTTAACTACCTTTCACTACGACACCACAATTATTACGGTAAAAATGGATAATACTCCATTCTCCAGTGTGAAAAAATTATGAGTCCAGTTTAATGAATCCGGTCTTTTTATGACATCTGTCAATTAAGATACATACTAAGTTCTGGACTGTGATAGTTTGTAACTGGAAAATGGAATATGAGTCCAGCAAGCGGATATACGTCACACACACATTACGTCACACACGCGTTTTAAAGCAGGCGCCAAATTCAAAAGCAACCACTTCGGTCAACCAAGGCTTTGGGTTCGGAGCTCCCCGATGCATGCGCACGCCGCGCACCTGTCAATCACAAACACGACCTTCCTTCAATTGGGACACGCCCCCTCTAGATTTCCCCCCCCGTCCGTACAGTCAGCGGACTCCGCCTTCGACACCCACGTTACTTTCGTTTTCCATTCAAAGCTCCAGTTAAATTAAATAGGTTCACACGCCCCCTCTTTTTTTTATTATACTTATTACTATTACTACTTGCATACTACTACCCATCTCCAAAAATGTAACTTTACTCAATGTTGTTGCCATGGTAACCAAGATATTGGACCCCCAGCAGAGAAAATAGGGTACTTTTCACAACACAATAATTAAGTAAGTAACAACTATTTAAGGTTCAAAAAACCTTTATTATATCACTTAGATCAATAGCTAGGAGGTGAACTAAAATTATTTGGCTACTGCAAAAGGTGCGGCTATAACTTTAAATAATCCATCTACATAAGGGTATCAAATTACAATGACAACAATTTCTTTATGAGAATGTACCCGAGTAACACTATTCTAGTTCACCTCCTAGAGAATGATAAGAACTATTAATTCTAAAAGTTTCAGACCAATAGCATAAATAACTTACTAGACATCATGTTTTGAGTATCATAAATTGAGCAAAATGTGCGAACCGAGAAAAACAGTACTTAAAATCATAGTTGTAGTTCATAAGACATAAATAGTTGTCAACAAAGTGAATTTTATCCAAAATATCTCAAAATGCTCCTGGTTTGTACAAAGTACTCTTCTCCTGTTTCTGTTTATCACCTTTCTTCTTCTTCAAGCCATGCAACATCTTTCTTTGCATTCATCTTTCTTAGCGCTGCCCGAAAAACGGTCAGGTGGCCTTACATGAGCCCGCATATATGTTGCTGCGGTTCATATTAAAAAACGTGGCGTCGCTCATTGTGAAATTGCACGACATGGTTAAGGACTATATTAAAAGTGCAAAGAATGTTGATATTGCTGGGAAAATTGGAGCAGAAGTTCTGCTACGTACGAAGGAGGTTGTAAAGAAACATATGTGGGAAGGCGGAGATGCATGTGCATTCCATGTTGCTTTGCTTTATCCAATTGTAGCGAGGGAACTTACTCGATGGAACAAAATAGCAACTAGGAGAATGAAATCATCGACTCGATCTTCTCAGCCCTGGCAAATATGCTTCTCTCGAGATGTTCCAGTCGAGGAATACAAAGTTCTAAAGCTCACTATTTTAACAGGCAAATACGGTGCGGTCTTTAAAAGTACAAGGAATGTTGAATACCTTCACTTGTCAAGTAGAGAGGCTTTATGTTTATGGATTGGACATGTAATAAGTTGTGAAAACAGAGAAACACAGAAAGAACAGGATTTGTTCAAAAAGTTATTAAAGAATGGAGCATATTGCGAGGTTATTGTCAATAAGGAACAACCATTCGTCATCAAATATTCAAGTTCAATGGAAACCCTTAAGGTTGTCATGTTTTATGGATGCTGGAAGGCTTTTGGTGTTCCTCAACATATTTTCTAGTGCCACATCTGTGTTTATGTGTTATATGAAGTACTAAACAACATTCATTGTAGGCAATCCTTTATTTTACTGTTTTCATGTCATTGGACATGTTGAACTCAGTTCAGTATTTAATTTATAGTTGCTGTTGAGTTTGAATATATAACAAGTCAGTATAAATTGCATTTGTTTACATGCATGATCAATGCCCATAACTGGCACTATAACAATTTCTATGCAATTACATTCCCTAAAGTCAATTAATTGGAAGTCGAAGGTAACCTGCACATGCAAAAATTCTCAAAATCTTGTTTTTGTTCCTCTATTCTATCAAGGAGATTTTGAGCATAACACTATTTAGGGAATGGGTGAGTCATGAAAGAGTGGTCCTATTAGTAATAATACTAAAATTTTGACTCACCTCACAGAAACGGCAAAAAAATAATGCCCTCCACCAGGTTGCAGAAGACGGTTACCTTCAACACAAGCTATGCAGTATCCATAGTACATTTAGTAACAATTCTAGACTCATATATGACATATATGTCAAATTTACAGTTCATATTAATTTTTTTATAACAAGGCAATGTTTTTTTATGTCACATTGTTTCACTGCTTTGCTTGGCTTTTGTAAACATGTTTTCATTCTTGTGGTTTGGCAAAACATGATCTGCATTCTAAGTGGCGGGAACATGGTCAAATACCACGATACGATACGGATGGTAAATTTCATAAATCAACCATCTACCATCAGTATTGTTGTCGATTTGTATCCATTGTACAGTGCATCCTTACCAGTGGTAAGATATGGTTACGGATCGTGAAAGTAAGTTTACCAACCATGAACCAAGGGTCATGGCAGTTGGGGTACCCTTGAAAATAATGTTGAATGGTACCAGTGGTACCACTGGTAAGATATGGTTACGGATCGTGAAGGTAAGTTTACCATCCCTGAACCAAGGGTCATGGCAGTTGGGGTACCCTTGAAAATAATGTCGAATGGTGGTTATTAAGCCGTGTAGCAAAGCACAGAACACGTCACAAGTAATATACAAAATTATTCTGGTTAAAAATAATATATGGTAATTATACAAACTATGTCTTACGTCATCTATAACGACTCTGAATGCCATACGCCAAAATGATGTACGTTTTTGGCTTTTTATCCATCTGCCAGAGCGCCAGTTTGCCAGAGCGCCGGCAGTTTTGCCAGAGCGCCAGTTTGCCAGAGCGCCAGTTTTGCCAGAGCGCCAGTTTCGCCAGTTTACTAAAGTGCTAGTCAGTTTTGCCAGAGCGCCAGTTTGCCAGAGCGCCAGTTTTGCCAGAGCGCCAGTTTCGCCAGAGCGCGAGTTTACTAAAGTGCTAGTCAGTTTTGCCAGAGCGCCAGTTTGCCAGTTTTGCCAGAGCGCCAGTTTTGCCAGAGCGCCAGTTTTGCCAGAGCGCCAGTTTTGCCAGAGCGCCAGTTTTGCCAGAGCGCCAGTTTTGCCAGAGTGCCAGTTTTCCCAGTGGCAAGTAAAGGAATTCGCTGCTTTTCTTTCAAACCATATCGTATACTGAACTTAACTAAACGTACTGCTTTGTTTCAGAGAATTAAAACAGAAATTACTTTGACGCAAAAGAAAATGCTGAAATATATTGCGATTTACGATTAAGTTAAAATTGCAATTCTACTACTAGAATATACATGCTCTTGCGTTCAATCTGGTTTGTTATGCGACCTTTGTCAGTTTGTCTTGCATATGAAAGATTTATTACTGTATATATGATCACACCATCTTACATAACAAGTTATTGTCTTTGTCTATTGCTCATATTTGTTGAGGAAATATTGTTATAATACTTTGATATTTCTAAACCAGAGAGTCGAAATTCAAAATACCTGGCCTGAAGCAGAACTGCGATAACAACGAGCCGGTAATGTGGCACTTGAAGTGTCACGCATTTAATCAAACATTATCAGTAACATAACAATAATGAAATATTTTGAATAGTTCAACTTCACGAAAATATATTCATTTAATTTTCAGTCATTTTGTGTAAAGCTATTAAGCATGTTAAATTAATATTTTAATGTGCTATATAGTATTATGCGCATAACGACTATAACCGCGAATGTTTCGCGTTTGTATTCACTCTTAATTAAATCCTTCATGCATGTGGATGGACGGACCCGCACTTTAATTTACCGTGTCACTCAATAAGGTTATTAATGAAAGCTGACATTTATATACTTCCACATACATCTTGCCTTTGACCTTTGTAGTGTTTTAAAACATAAATCATATCACGGTCATATGGATTTATACATCCACTGGTAAAACTATATGCAACGTTCAATATAATGTGACATGTAAAGATTTGTACGACCGCGTTTGTGTATCATTTCAGTGGGTTATTAAAAACAAGAGTTGTTGCTGAAATTGGTAGCATACTGTATAAACTTAGCCAGCGCGCAGTCTCATGATATCGACATCGTTTTGAAGTCATAAGACTGCGCGCATGCAGGCTAGCATAAACTGCGTAAATTAATTTTTGGCGGGAAATATGCGCGCCAGTTGTTGACACACCATGCTCATGAATATTCTGCCTTTCTTAATATTAGTCGTTTCGCAAGGAAGCCATGCTATAAAAATGCAACACTTCTAATTTGAAATATATTTACATACATAACATAACTTATATACAAAATAATTAACTCTACATATCTAATATTATCCTGTCTTTTGATCACCAAGTGTTCTAACTGTCATTTAGCTACTGATTTAGTGTCGCATTAAAGCAACAGTAACTATGGAACTATATCTACATAATAATAGTGCAGATGAATAACAATAATAGTACAGATGAATGGATAATGCGACTATATATATATACTCGACTATATACTGAATTGTTAATTTAATTTAGTGTCGCATTAAGCTACGTTTGCACACAACGATTATTCGGGCCGATTACTGGTTTTGCCGAATGTTAATGACGAATACTCTCAGTTGACGATATCGTCAGATGACGTTGACAGCTTATTTTTCAAATATCGTTTACTTAAATCTGAATCGGCCCAATTAATCCTTGTGTGCACTTTAGCGAAACATGCAGGATGAATATTCACAACACGATCCCCCATGCACTAGACTTAAAAATAAATCTATTCATTTCACTTCGTCATAGGAATAGGTAGTGATTATGTCATATCGGGACATGATAACCTTTCCTAGGTAATTAAATACAATATAAAACCAAGATATGGATTCAGTAGAAAAAGTTCATAATCTATTATTGAACTTTCTGTATATATGCAAAACAAGTGTCTGATTTCTGCATGCATGTCTATGATTTCTTAGCTACATTCTCTTCGACTTGTTGTATATATAATTGCCGAAACAATTCTGCCTGCTGTGTAGTCTTTTTCATCATCTGTTGCACTACCTTTTTACTTTTTTTGTGAAGTAAAAGATTAACGTCGGGTATTTCATTAACTATATCCACCAACTCGTTGTAAGAACTCGTCAAGTCACTTTCGTTTTGGTTTCTCGCCGCATTGCAACATGTACTCCAAACTTGTCTTTCGTAATCCCTGTAGAGATTGCTTTTCACGATTTCGTTTCTGGGATGTTGATGTTTCTGTGGTGTTATCGGACTTTGTTCCGTGAGGATTGTTGCAATTAAAACAACTACACGCCGACGAACATTTTTTCATTTCACGTAAGCAAGGGCACTGTGACCGACGTTCACCTGGAACTTGAAAACAAAACATTTTCTCTTTGTTTTGTCTTGCAGCTCCCCTACCACAACGGCAACTTTTTCTTTCCTGATTTTCGTGTTCCGATGCCTCATTTTCAGTAGAATATACTTCTTCATCTGTACTAGTAACCTGTTTAACTGACTCTACAACAGCATCATAATGTCCACATCCACAATTGTTAAAAGCCAGGTAAAGTGCATGATTGCATAATACCTTTTCTCTTGGTACTATTGGTATAGTTTTAACTTTTTCCATTGACGTGAAAAGTACCAAATTTATTCTTAGAACGTTTGCCAGTCCAACTGCCATAATATTTCCCAGTTCTCCGGCAAAAACACCTCGTCCTCTGTATGAGTTTGCTAATTCTTCGAACGATATTTCCTGACTAGTGACAAAATCTTCATATTCTGATGCATTTGCTAGCCATTCAGAAACCAACAAATTGCGCAAATGAAGTACAATCAAGCTAATATCCAAATCAAAGCATAAATTTAAGTTTTTCAGATGTTCATTATACTTTTTGTATTTTCCAGATGACACAATTTGTTTTAGACCAAATATAATTGAGGTGAAAAGACAGTCACCGTCTGAAGATGAGTTCACCAACTCCATGTTGTATGAAGCCAGTGTGTTTTGCAATCGTTCCAAACTCTCCTTTTCTTCCACAGTCTTATCAATGCAAGTTCCAAAAGCGAAAAGTGCTGGATTTGACATCAAATGTGCATTTTCGGTGTTAAATGTTCGGTTTCTGCCATTACACGCTTCTAATAGTTCCACTACTGACATAATATTCGATGCCCTATCTAAGATTTTTTTCACGTCTTCTTTTCCAAGTTTAAAATCCGAATTATTTAAAATTTCATCCAGGTTCTGCCCTTCCGCATCCCAATTGCATTCTGAAAATAAATCACAATAAGATGGTGGTAGTTTTTCCTCCTTTGAATTAATTCGTCTTTCAGATGATACTCCCACTCCAAATGTTTCTTTGCTACATGGTTTTGTGGACCAAAGCGATGGTGCATTGTCGATATCAAAAATTGGCAGAAACTTTGTTTTTTTACCGGTACGATCTGCATTTTTTCTTTTCTCGTTCCAAACGTAAAGGAAGGTTGTAAACAAAGCTACTGCCAGGTGTACACCAATGCGCACTTTACTTGCACTTTTACGAATGCATTTGTGTAGATTTTCATTCCGTTCTGTGCCACAACCGGGCGGAATATTGGACAAACAACCCTTATTAATATGTTCTCGCAAGTTCTTAATCTCTTTTAATGCATCCAATGTCAAAACCGGTTTATCTAAATAAATAACATCTTTCCAGGTAAGGACAAAATTATCCAGTTGTTTGTTGATTGTTTCAGGGTCGGGAGTATTCTCCTTGCGACTTTCACCATGGTCATGTGGTTGACGTACTATGAGAGAAAAAGCTTGGGCGCAATTAAAACTAAAAGGGTGTCGTTTAGAAATTTTCTTCACAACTCGTTGAACCGCATGGAATAAGTCTAGTTTCACATTTAATTCCTTCCCAAATACGGATTGGAGTTTTCGTTTCCACGTGCAACAATTGTCTGTAAAACACAATTTTATATTCCGGTCTTGGTTCTGAAATCTACAGTGAAGTCCTTTCAGGAGATCTTCGACTTTATCGAATGCCGTACCAAGTGTTAATTGCCATGCTATTACGCAACCGATTTCATTCATGACACAGAACATAGAATCGTACTGCTTTTCCCAATGTGAATCACATTTTCGATTTGCTCCAATATTCGCCGCAACCTTAAAAGTGTGATCTATAGATATCCACTCAGCTGAATGTTCAATCATCTTGCATGTATACAAGTGTTGCTTTTTCTCGAAATCGTAAATGAAACAATCTCTTATTATTGTTATACTTGGGCCTTTATACTCGTTTGGAATATCAGCCGGGAACATTTTATTTACCTCACCGTTTTCTGTTACTTTACCAGATAGTAACTGTAATTGTAAATCTTCTTCAAATGAAGCACGCTTTTTAGTGTATTCCTTCATGTAAAGTTGACCAAGCATTGATTCATATGTTCCATTTTCAAACCGTTTATTATTGAGCAAACAACATAATCCTGAAGTTGGCATGTCACTCCTGTAATATGCGACAAAATAAACGGCCTACGTGATTCTGGAATAAGATTCAAAATTGAAGGATCGTGGGCTATAATTTCTGCATGCTGTCCACTACATCGATAAACACGGCTGACTAAGTAAATGGGTCCATTAATCCCATATAATATCCTGCACGATTCTCTTTGGTTACGGCAGTCTTTCCAGTGCGCTGAACGTAGCCACCGAATATCCGAGCCAATTTGACATGCTGGTCTAGGACACTTCATTCTACCATTTAAGCAACTAAGCTGATTCATGGGGTCCCAGAACATTAACACTGGACGTACATAGTCGTAAATATCAAGAACAGAATTGGATTCAGCTGAGCGTGTCATTGGTATAAGTGGATATACAAAGAGGGGAGCAGGCAAACCATTAAATTGCTGTATAACTAATGTTATATAGTGGTGATGTTGTTCCCGTACAAGTACGCATGTCGCTGGTCTTGCAGCGACGAAAAATACAAGGAGCAGAAAATTAAAAATAAACTTTCCCATATTTTAGTTCACCACTTCGAGTTGGCGAGTGGGCTAGAATTAATTATAATTTTATAACTATTATTAAGAACAAACATATTGTACTACAATAACCAAACGCACTTAAGATTCATATCTATACATAAAAAATGTCTTCCGGTGCTATCTCATTTGCAAACTTCCTGCAACACTAATTAGCGAGATAAGATAAATTGATAAAACATGTTCGGATTGAGACCAACCTGATAATTTGCCTGTCACCCAGAATCAAAATTGTCATGCACGTGCGCTCAAATTATTCATAAGGAAATATGTGTGCGATTACTCGTGATTGGCTGAGGCCTTCCGATACTAAAATAATTCTGTCCAATGATTACTTCTGAAAAAAAATGGCGCCAAGTTTTAACCAATCGTCATATATACCTATGCGTCAATGAGTAAGATTACACATATTAAACAACCTTGCAGTTTATTCGTCATTCGTGAGTGAGCCGCGATCCTTGACAGTACTCTGGTAGGCAAAATGCTTGGTCGTTCACAACGCAAGAGAAAGGCTGATGACATTGAAGATGTCATCAAGTCATTGGCTACAGAAGCAAGCGAGAATGGTATCGATTGGAGTAACATTGGTCCCGAATACTTCAGTAATTGGTTGGAAACGTTTGCCCGGGCACACGGTGTAGTCAAAGAGTTGATGTTTTTCTCAATCCTTCCTAGAGTAGCCGGCCTTTTAGGAGCTAAGACACGAATGAAGTTATCGGAAGGACATCATGAAGGTACGGGCTGTTTTGTTTTATGTTTGGCTCCTCCTGATGCTGCCAAGTCCCCGGCTAATAACCATGGAGGAAAATTTCCACTGGCATTCGTCGAGCGCGAGAACAATGTGACACTATCGCTTGACAAATTCACCGAAGTTGGTTTACGGCAACATCTTATCGAGAATGACGGTACGGCAGTAATTGTAAAGGATGAAATGTACCAAACCATTCGCCAAATATTGACCGAAAAGGAGATGGGTACGCTGTGCAGACTATATGATGGGGATTCTCTATTTGTGACAACTGGATCTAACACAAAACCGATTGGAGTTGATAAAACCAGCGTTGCTCTAGGCGGATTTATACAGGTAGGTTAAATTTTTAGAAAATGCACAAAGTTACATCTATATATGGACTATGACTATCATATGCATCTGGCTCGATATTGGTTTATTTTAGGTTTCTCTGTAGCCTAGCTCTGTACTGAGAGATGCATGTAGCCGTGTTTTGTCCATATATAGCCTATACGGCTATAGCTAGACCCTTGAATATGCACAAAAGTCAAAATGGTGTACAGATCATCAGATGTATTAATTTATATTATTTTGATTTTGAACGTACTGTCGCAGGTAAAGAATTTCCTAACAGATTTGTATCCGCAAATGTCAGCTGGCCAAGATGGTTTTGACGCTCGATTCAACATGGCAATTGTCCGACCAAAAGCTTTGACCCGCAAGGAAAGTTCCATTTACGAGGAAGTGCTGACTAGATCAAATCTCCAAGACCTTAACGATCTTTTCAACACCATCTACCGAGACCACAACGGAGAAGACGTTGAAGTCATCTACTGCTTGGACGAGGAAGCTCTGGCAGAATTTGATGAATTTGACGAGAAAATTTGTTCGAGGCTTAATTCAAGTTGGCAGACGGGAAATTTGATGACACGAGCGACCAAAGAACGACGCCATGTTATTCGCTGGTCAGTAATTTTATACATTCTTTATCAATACACAAGGAGAGCCATTTTCAAGGCGTACGGCCCAATATCTAAGAGGATTCCCAAACGATATGTGAAGTATGCTATCAAGTTGAACGAGTACTTCCAAAAGCAGAAGGAAATTATAGAAAAGGTTTGTAGCATGTTTCAAATTGTTCTCTAATAAAAAAACACAAAACTCCGACAAGACTAAAATTCTAATTCGTCCGGTACCGCGTGTAAACGGGGTCCAAACTGCATGCATTCATAAAATTAAAATGTACATTGGCTTGTTTTATCACGAAACAATGTTCAACCTTAGAAAATAGCTCGTCATTTTAAATCTTTAAAATTAAAAATATAGAACATTTCGATTTGGTTAAATATATCATAATGTTTTGGTAAGGAAAAACTATACAGAACGTTCATATTCTGTATAGTATAGAGAATGATTGACTATATAGTTAGTTTTCTAACACACTTTAATATCTACTTCTTATATCTTTCAGCATTTTAACGGCAA